TAGTTTTATAAGGTTTTACAAGAAGTATTTATCTTTTGGGTAAAAAAAATGTATCTCAAGGTGACTGCTATAAGGAATCATGTGAATACGGCTGTCATGTGAAATCCTAATACAAATCTAATGGCTTATGAAGAAAAAAGAAGAAAAAAAAGGTTGTAATCTATTTTCATACGGGTAGTTGGAGCCAATAGATACTATCTCTGCGCATGCGTATCTAACGTAAAATATAACGAAGCTTTCATGAGTGAGAAACAAGAAAAAAGTGATCTACTTTGAAAAAAATGATATACTAAATGAAAAATAATAGTTACTAAAATTAAAACTTTCAGTAACTCTCGCTTTTAAAGATGAGGATGAAAGATATACCATTTTTATTCAAGAAGCAAATAGTTGGATCATCCAAGCAAAAAAATAATTTCATACGCTTATGAGATTCAGTCTTGCAAAGAGATGATGAAAAATCTCATAGAGTTATATAGTTTGTAAAAACTCAATACAATGCCACTACATTTATTTCCTAATATATCTTTATGAAGAAGAACTTTCAAATGTTAATAATGATCAACATGATCAAATTTGAGCATCATTTCCCAAATTCTTAATAATTTCTCCTTTTACTCAAAAGCTAAAAATTTCTGATTCTATGTGAATATTAGACCAAATTGATATCTTGTCTTCAAATCCTATAGAATGCTTATGAAAATCTTTCGTTGATAAATATACAACCGAAATGATATCTTCTACTCATGTTCCACTTAAGGCAACTTCAAATTTCTGATCTCTTGGAAGACTAACTCTTGTCAAAACGGGAAAGAATTTTCCACTTAGCCTTGACACCAATTGGAAGAATCAATTTCCACCTTTGTAAGCACTTAGAATGTGCAACAAACACAATCTCAAATTTATTAACCTGATAGACAAGTTTGACACCAATTGGAAGAATCAATTTCCACCTTTGTAAGCATTTAGAATGTGCAACAAACACAATCTCAAATTTTTTAACCTGAAAGACAAGTTTTACCGAGGGGTATATCTACGGGCATGAGCGAGTGTTATCGCTAAAACTCAAAGTTCATGAGTATTCAAAGTGAGAGTCACAGACGGATCATCAGGAGACCTGACGCAATACATATAGGCTAGCTGATAACAAACCTAACTAGCGTAACCTACCCATTGTTTTAATAATTAAAATTAACAAGATTAGAGCTCATCATACACCTTAGGGAAAGTCCACCCCAAAGTTACGAAGTGATTTGCTCATGTTGCGGTTAGGAGAGAACCATTATAAGTGAAGGTTGTGAGAGAATTCTGAATGGTGCTAAGCATAATCGAAAGAAACTTGGACCGTGGTGCTAACCTCTTTTAGGTTGCACGATGTCTTGGAGGTTGGCTCCAAATCACTAGAATTTGGAGTCTTCACATGTATGGAGGTGTGTGACGACTCCATACATGTGGATCTTAGCAGCAACAAACCCTATAACTATATGTGACATATGTGGCAATGGTGTTTCAAGTCCAATCCGTATCTACAACGTCGCTGAATATCACATACTCTACGATTCAGTTTTCTCTACATATCAAATCAGCATGTGCAGTCCACCCGTATCTGTGGTTGTATCACCTCTGATGGTGCATTAGACATGATGTGTATCCACACATCATGAAAACTATATCAACTACTGACATAAATATTAACATGTGTACCCGTACTCTTACTTCCAAAAAATCTAGTTCGTCAAATATGCATCTAGATATTGACCGCACTAGAATGAGAGCAGGTTAGAATTCGAAGGTTGGATATAAGTCTATTGGACGTGCATCTTTATGATATATAAGATAAAAGTCTTGGTCATCTATTGAACAGTTGTTGACAACGACTTTCTTGCTGTCTTTGCCGTGTCTTCGTGTAATGAAATACTGTCAAATCGGTCATGCGAGCAGAGTTCTCTATTGTAATTTTTTGCACCTTCAGGTGTGGAAAATAGGAGATAGAGGCAGCACACTTGTATACTATTAACCATTACTCATGACGTGCTGACTTTTAGGACTAGATTAGGGTTCGATTAATCTGGGCATATCTTCATCACTCTTCTCTGTCTACTTTGTGGCATCCGACATTTCTCTGTTATTCTGACTCTAACAGTATTGTGGGTCTCCTCAGTTCTTGCAAAGCAATCAGAATCTGGTCACAAGGCTACGGCAGTATGAAGTCATACACAATCTATTTCCAGTCTACTCCCTGCCAAAGTCATCACAAAATCTTGGCTGGCATTAGCTTATAGTGAGTGAGTGTTCATGAGATGAAGTGACGGCAGTAGGAGGAACTAGGTGCAGCTGGAAAAGCTTTGCTCAGATGAAATGGCGTTTGTTCGTTTGGTTGGCCCTAGGCATAGCTTACCTTCGTTAAGCTGCTGCTCCCAAAAGACTTTTCCCCTTCACCAACTACAAACAGTCAGTTGGTTGCTCGACCCATAATCCCACACAGAGTAGCCAAAGTCATTTCGATGAACATACTGACTGGACTGACTTCACTGCCCGGGCCAGATTGAATGTCCCGGACTTGTCTGTCTCGATGCCTTCGCCAAACACGCCATGTTTCGAAAGGTGATGGTGGCAAGAAAAGGCCAAAGTTCGAATTTGCACTCACCAAAACCCTTACTGCCACAAGCAAAACCAAAAGAACTGTGCAAGTAACAAACTTGACAATGTTGATATGCGAAAGAGCTTGTCACTGCGACTTTAAGCTCCGATGATGACTTGGGACGACCATATCAATGTCTCACATCATAGAGATACGAAGTGTCGACCGACCTTCAATGATTACCGTAATCTCATGGTTCAAAAGCACTGTACCATAGACGATCGACAGACGTGATTTCGAGCCCGAGCTTAATGAAAGAAGTTAGTACGCTACATTACTTGTCAGCAACGCCTCCACTGACTGCAGCCACAATATTCTTATTCAATTAACTCGACTGGAAGTGTTGCAGTAGACTAGCTAGGTGGTAGGACGATGAATTGATGATTTCAGACGTATAGAGCGGCTACCGTTCCGATCCGAAAGTCCGTCCAGACGTCCGTCCGTTTCCTTCAAATGCCAGAAACTGGCTTTCTCGCATACCATAATCTCAGTTCTCACGAGTTTATAATATTATATGAAAGAGCCCATGCCAAGAGACCGACTGACGGACTGACTCTTTCAACAAGAGACTAGCTAGCACTGTACCACAGAAGCACGACACGGGCCCGGCCCGGAGAGAAGCGCGTTGCATCTCCAAGTCTCAGGATTCGCCAGTTTTCTGGTGTCAAAGTCTCAAACAAGGAGATCTCATGCAATCCACCATCATCAATGCATGTCCACATGTACTGTTAGAAAGACCCAACCTGCCTGGGGGAGTTAACAGGTAGATCAGGGAATGCGTCTGCCCAGTAAAGACGCATTCCCATTATAAAGTGCTTCCAGTTACGTCGAGCTCTGAGCTTCGAGAGAGCTGCACAATTTCTTACTGTGTTACTCATCCTTCGTCTTCCATCTTTCCCTTCCACAAAGATTCTCCTTCCTTGCAACATGTCTGACGATCCGTCCTGTATTCGTGGTACATGTACAAACGATCCTGCAGCTGCATGCTCTTACACAGATTTAATGAAAGATAAACAGGTGACAGTGTGTTTGCTAGAACCTTTGCTTGCCCGGTCGTCGTCGTCGTCATGTGGGACAACGAGATAATGATGCCGCTGCAAGTAGTGACGTTCCCCTTGACTTCAGACGAAACAGAGGTAATTTTCAATGTGTAACGAATAGAATCAACAGCAAGCCGGAGGCAGGCTCTCGAGGCACGCAGGTCACTGCGGCTCAATGAATGTGTCCGAAGTCTGATGTACACAAGGTTTTCTCTTGTTCTTGCGGTAACTGTACAAAAGAACTCGCTACACGAAGACGTGTTCGAGCGGTCAGAGCTTCGAACTCAGAGCTCGGCTGCATGTCCACATATCAACATACGAGATATTCGATTGCTCGAGCGATAATCGAAAGGCATGGATGGCCATTGTGGTGTTCCGGTCCTTGTCCGCGACGTCTCGGTGCCTGTGAAGCGTAGCGAGATCTTCATGATGGCCAGACAAGGGTTCTGAGGAGGTCAGGAAGCTAGACCCGTAGCCCAGAGCCTGCACGGAGCTCTGCGAAGGTACGATGGCTAAGTTTAGCAGATCGCCCCCCAACTGTGAAAAAGCAACACTTCCAACGCGTCGACCGGAGCCTTCCAAACCAGGCCAAACTTCGACGTCAAGTACAAGGCCAGAAAGCGTCAGCTGCGACAGGGTCGCAGGGCACGATCGGTCGTAGGCTGGCGCTGCTGCTGTACAGTTGGTGCGATTTGAGACGTCGCCAAGAGAAATCTGAGAACTACGTGCTTGCGGTTGCACGTGTGGCGCTCTGCAAGATGGCCGAATCGCCGTCGAGGATTTCGGATTCCGCCCAACCCTCTCTCCACCAGGTCTGGGTCCCCGGGGCCTGTAAGTCAGACCCGGGAATCGGTCTGTATGCGCTTTACCGTAGGTGCCCTGGATATGCTCGCACGGGTCGCTTCGGTCTACAGCATCGACCGACATAAGAATCAAAAGATGTCTGCTACGCTGTACAAATCGTCGAATGATTTCTACGATACTCGTCTGATTGCCCGATGGGCTGGCTTACCATCATGATCTACGTCTATGGCCTGGGACGGGACTTAGATCCCGGGAGGCCATAGAGGCGAGGCCCCACAGATTCAAATTGAATTTACCCTGCGTGATGTCACGGTCTTACGTGTACATGCAGCGCTCTTCATGGAATCTTCTCCTTATCTGCACCTCATATCATTTGCCTACAGTACATTCAAGTGGTCAGCAGACCTTTAAGCAACTAAGAGTTCTCGAACACATCTATGGTCTTGACTTTTCGAACATCACTGTCCAGATCTTGAAACATGCACGCCACATGAGAACATCGGACAGCAGCGAGTCTGTGGTACTTAAGAGCCGCAACAGGGGCCTTCAAAACTTTTCATTACGGAGCTCGCAGAGCCAATATTGCTTGGACCTCCGCTTCGTCTCGCCTTTTCCAGTACATCTTCCATAAGCATGAGCACTTAGGGTTCAGGCGGGACTCGAATTTATTCTAGTAGCACCATAACAGCGGGCTGTGGACTCACTGATGGCCTCGTGGCTAACTGCTGGTATAGATAGATACATATATGAGATGTAAGTAGCTAACTAACTGCCTGCGGTGCATTCTGCATCGCATCGCATGGGCTTTCTTTGCTCTGCTTCGCTTCCTACTGGGCGTTCTGAGTAGAGTATTGTACACTGGATGGGTCGACTTGCAGCGAAGATTGGCAACCAAGAGCTTCGTGTGAAGTCAAACTACCGATCGATCCTATCTCGTCTTCCATCGCACCTCGTAATTTACATAGCAGGCCTAATACATCTCGTGAGGATAGATGGACTTTAGAGTGAGTAAAAAGAACAAGCTGGCTCTCTGCTGCTGCTGCTGCTGCTGCCGACGTCATCATCTGCAGCTCTATATATATACACGACTGACGAGTCGACGCCTCGATGTGCGGAAACCATACGCAGCACGCTCGCAGTGGCTCGCGAGAGCCAACGTTTCACTTCTGATGTCAAGCTGCAGTTTACGATCCGGCCCGATGCGGTTGCGACTCGTGAACTGGAGTTACGTGGATGACAAAAGAGCTGCAACGCGGAGGCGACGACGTTACCATGGTAAGGTAACCAGGCAAGTTGTCGGAAACAAAATTCTGGACGACGCGCTGCAGCCTGCATTACCACGTCGTTCGGTGGAACAACTTGCGGGCATCGACCCTTACCAGGTAGACGGCTGCATCTCTGGGACAAGTGAGCGACAGTTCACGGCCCTTCCTTCCTTCAGTTTCAGTTTCACTCGCTCGCTGGCTGACAAAGAACTCACTCGCATCTCCTTTCCAAACTGGACAACCACAAAACTGCACCAGTGTCGGAATTGTAAGAGAATCGCCAGGCCTTCGCTCAGGTGCACAAGTTGAGTTACTCCTGCAGCTGTGGTCGCCTATGTACACGGTAGGAAAGGCTGCCCTGCCCTGCCCTGCCAGACACAGCTCGCTGAGGCCTGAGGCCAAATGCCAATGACAGCGACTATTTATTTACATCGGGCGTCAACTGATGATATTTGATCGTCGGATCCTTGCCACATGCCCGGAGGCGAAATGTCGGCTAAGAGACGACGTTTGTGATACTTGTCTTGCGTATCATCGCCATCGTCCGCCCACAAACCAGGAGGAGAAATGTCTGCGAGAAGACTTCTCTTTTGGAATCGGCTGTCAATCAGCTCCGCATCGGTCCAAACCCCCGGTGGCGAAATGTCGGCGAGCATCGATCTCTTGCCAGCTTTGACCTCTATTTGATCGCCACTGTCCTGCCACATTCCCGGGGGTGAAATGTCAGCCTGCAAAGCTTTTCTCTTGATGTAATTGTCTTGTTGCAGCAGGGAGAAAGCCATTTCGGCCCGAGAGTTTGCAGCAGCTGGATCGGAACCCACGCCTGAGACAGCAGCCCAAACCACTGCCTCAGTGCGTAAATTGTCTTCGTCGTCATCTGTAATTTGCCACAATCCCAGAGCAGGCACGTCGGCAAATCTAAGAAGGGCCGAATTTCGAAGCTGCCGTGGAAGGGATTCGTCGGCGGCTGCAGCTGCTGAGCTGAATTCGGCGGCTGACTGGGCCCCCAGAGGGCTTTCTCCCAGCGACCCGTCGAGGCCAGCATTACTCGCAGCATGTGAGATTCTCACAATGTCGCGCTCTAGTCCTCTTCTGGTTTCCTCTGCCTCGCGATCGCCATTCAGTTTCAGGACTGTTCGCGTCACAGCTGATTGAGAGTCCGACGAGACTGCAGAGCTCGATGACAGATCGCGTCGATGAACGACTGGAATGTTATCTGGACAGAGCAACAAAAAAAACCCCCCCAATCAGCCTTTCGTAGTTGCACAAAAGGAACCTCTGCCCAATGTAATTCAGAGCGCGTGAACACTGTGCGGAGCGGAATGGTCCATCACGAGGGCATTGCAGCTCGAAACAAACGAAATCAGACATAAGTGCCTGTGTAAGAGCTATGCAGCGAGGCCTACTGCAATAAGACTTTCGAGGCAAACTCTCTATCTCTCTCTCGCTCGCTCTCTGCACACTGACCATCGAATGATTCCGGTCTAGCTCCAGCAACCATGCCGCGAAGTCTTGGCGTAGGCGCGACATTCCCCGTGAGCGCTGGGTTCACACCTGCATTGATTGCATAAACGCGACTCGTATCAGAAATGTGCAGCTGAATAGAATTTCGTGACGTCGTTCATTTACTCGCGCCGAGCCCTACGAATGCAGGCACAGGCAAAAGATCTCTAGAGAAATGAATAAAAGGTCTACTTCAAGCCAATGCTGCTTCGCCTGCGCATTGCTTCAGTTTGGCGCTAATAAGGTCGGGTGATATTCTTGATTTCTAGCTTAGGGGGCTTGCAAGTGGATGAAATGAATGTAAGCGAGGCGCCGACCCCCAGCCCGCGCAACTCAAGGACACAAAAAGCATTCGATCGTCTCACGGTGGTGCTGCGCGGGAATAACTAAGACAGAGAGATCATACCTTTAGTAAAGGTGTCAGCTCTTGCAGCATCGGACAAGGGAAGAAAGATGGAACTGTAAGATAATAACATCATTATGGTGAGCTGCGTAGAGAGCTGCTGCACTGGAAGCCTGGCCATAATCAATGCTGCGGCAGCCTGATCTGAAAATGAGTAAGAGAGCGAGATGGATAGAAGGACAGAATGATGGAATCGTGGGAGGAAGACGGAAGGAAGGAAGGAAGGAAGGAGGGAAGGCAGGCAGGCAGGCAGGCAGCAGGAAGGCAGATGGAAGATGACAGGAAGGAGCAAGTGGAGTAGGAGTAGTAGTGATTGGTTGCCAATGAAGAGGAGCTGCTGCTGCTTCGGGAATGTGCAGAAGGATCGAACAGGTTCATGTCTAAATAGAAGCTCGCATCGCAACACATCTCTCCGGCAGGCACGCAGGCATCGTCGGCTCAAACGGATCGAGGTAGTTAGAGTGTCTCCTAGGCCTACCACCGGCCACCCTTAAGGAACCTCAGTGATCGGGGGTTGAATCTTGTTTACCACCGAACAGTCACTGGTTTGTACTTTCTCTCTTTCTCTCTTTCTCGCTTTCTCTGTCAGCCTCGCGGAATACTACTGTGATCCCCACATCCTCGCCCCAGCGTGGCGTCATTGGTTAGACCCAAATCGTAACCCGCATATAAAACTGGGGCCCCTTGGTACGTTGCCACCAATCTGTGAGGAACGAGTGGTTCGATGAGTGTCTGATCAAGCACAATGATCAGACACCAGAAGAATAATTCTACCACTGTCAGTTAACTCTACGTTCTTGTGATTCTGTGTCTCTATCTCTGTGGCCACAGACCTGTTAACAACTATCTCTGCCGGCTGCACACACTCCACTGCCCTCCACTACACTACGGACTAGAGGGATCTATCTTAACCTGAGAGCCAAATGCCAGATTCAAATGTTAATCATGCATGAATGGCGAGGGAAACATCAGCGGGACGCAGAAAACAGAGTGGCGAATGTTTGGTGTTTTCCATGTGTGCAGCGCGGGCCAGCGCGTAAGGGCACCCTTACGCGCAGGCCTAGGCAAGGCAGGCAGGCAGGCATGCAGGGAAAAAGTATGGGAAAAGTCTAGGGCTCGCCTCGCCGGGCCTGGCTCACTCGAGTCACTCACTCGGAATTCACTCCCTCCGCTCGCCTCGCCTCGCTCTCTGACTCTGAGCCCCTGCCTGCGTCCCGCGGAGTCCCCTCCCCTCGCTCACTGTCGGCATGGGGTTCAGAGATGGGGCACGCATCCCCAGGCCCCAGGCCCCAGGCCCCAGGCCTGAGCCCTGCTCTCGTCGTACCGCAGTCGCCGAATCGCCTCCCTCACAAAGATCCTCCCCTCACTCGCTCGTCCCTCCCGTCCGGCCGTCCGTCCGTCCGTCCTTCTTCCGCTCCGTGAGTTTGTGCCATGTCCGGCTCCTTCCTTCGCTTCCGGGCACTTCGTTTTCTTGTCTTTTCTTCTCCGGCGTCGTTCCGGCGTCACTCCATCACCCACCCTCTTCCATTCCATTCCATTCCTTTCCTTTCCTCTCCTCTCCTCTCCTCTCCTCTTCCCTTCCCTTCCCTTCCCTTCCCTTGCCTGCCCGGCCCTGCCCCGCCCCGCGCTTGTGACTCAAGGGGCCACGCGGATCCCCCGAGATCGTGTCCCCAGTACCACAGCAGTTGTTGGAAGAAAGAAAGAGAGATAGAAAGATAGAAAGTAGCAGAGTAGCAGTAGTAGCAGTAGTAGTAGTAGTAGGAGTGTAGTGTCCTCATGAGAGAGCTGCGCGACGCATGGCGTCGAGAGTAGCCAGACACGCTCTGTATCAGTGCAACCTTCCCTTTTCGAGCATTTTCTTACCCCTGCCCGCCCGAATGGGAAAGCGCGCACAATCTTACGAGGTCCTTTTCCTCTTGTGACATGTGTTGTTACTCGGAGTGCCCGATCGACCGGGTTGCAGATTTAAATCGCTCCACGCTGCCAAAGATACCCTTGTGAAAACTCGATAACCATCTCCACGGAAAGTGTACGTTTTTATCTCTTTGTCACACTTCCTTTATCTTAGAAGCGGGCGATAGATAGGAAAATTGGAGATGCTCTTACATCACGCAAGAAAGAAAGGCCCATAAATAATTCTCATCCTTTCTGAACTATACACCCTACAGCACCATCGGCCTACACTCCATGATCTATTTTACTGTTTATTTAAACAGCCAAATTTTTTTCCCCTTATGTCAATGAATGTGTCCAGAGAAAGAGTGTGAACCGAGGGCCCACACTCTTTCTCTGGACCTACCGTAGCCCCTGACCCTGCTCGCTCTCCTTGCTTCCTCCAAGTCCATCTCTAATTCCAAGCGGTCGTTTACTCAGATCATTATCGTCAAATTAGGTGTCCAGAAGTTGATGTCCAACAAATGAATCTGGGCCTTTCCCCGATTCAGTTTGCTTGTCGTGTTTCGCAATGACTGTTCTCTTCTTTGAACTATGGGTTCACCGCCTTTTCTTCTTGTGATACTGCCCAACTCTATCTCGAGATATGCTCTCTCAACTCTCCTTTCAATATTAAGGAATCTAGCATTGATGCAAGTGTCTTTGAAGTCAAACCGACTATGTTCCGGACTTCAAGTTACCATAATTGTCAGCTCAGAATCCTCAGCAACGTACAGATCTACAGATTTTCGGGTTCATGCACACTCTGTCTACTAATCTACAACATTCTCATCAGCACATGACTCTTCAAGGGACACCGGCATCTAGAGAAGCAGCAAATAACACATGCCTATATATTTGGAAACAGCAAGTTGGCATTGAGAGTGGAGTTAAACTTCTGAAATGAGTAAGTTTCTAAAAATGCATGAATGAACAGAAGGTGGAATTTCCATCAACGTGAAGAAAAAATGGGATTATCACCTTCCTTTATTGTCACCGGAAAGGTAATGATTATATGTTTTACAAAATCAATTTTCTTTCCGATTACCTTATGATACCATATATATCTATGCATGAATTTTATTTTATTTTTCCAGAATTTGGACTTCGAACAATGACATGTATTTAATGTCTCGATTCAGCCTAAAAAAAATTCAAAGATGATCCAATTGGTCTTATTAAAAATTAAAGAATCAAAAAGCTAAGTTTCTTTCAGGGGAAAAACGTCCTGAAAGTAAGCAATCATCGTATTAACATCGAGAACGAAGCTTGAAATGATTTCAAGATATATGACTATTAATAAATAATAACAAAAAATAGTAAATTCTATCCAAATTTATCCAAATCATCTTAGTGATTAACATAGCGCCTTTCTGGAATATTTTATATTAAATGACATTTCATGGTTCAATCGCAACAAAAATGTATCCGTTGGAAAGAGAGAAAGAGAGAAAAAAAAGTGAGAAGAGATCGTGATTTCAACTCATTACTTGTTCGTTGTAGCTTCAAATGAATAACTCAATATATACATAAAATCATACGTAGGATATTTTACCATCGCATTTTCCTAGTTCTCTGAATGCAAATTTTTATTTGTTACAAAATAAACGGAACAAGCTCAAAGAATAAAACACGAAAAAACGAGGGCCCTCCGGCCCTGCGGGCAGATACTGGAAAGTTCCTGGGTCTTAGGGACACGAGGCCTTAAATAAGTGATAGTGTTTCGTGCGTGTAACTTTTTGCTATAAATTTAAAAATATTGTAGTGTTGTTGACATGAAAGTGTCAAACCAATTAATCTGTACATTGGTGGTTCGTGCTTGATTGATTAATCCTAAAGCACATAGATAGATATTTCATCTAAAAAAGGTTTTCCGTATACATATCAATCATATATTATCAATATATGATTTATTTACATCATGTTTGAAAAATGTAAAATTATTTGGTAATTCATCCGCATCCCATGACAAATTCGCTCGCATATAGTTTTAGCAAATGCCCGTGCAGAAGCAAGGGTTAATGACAAATTAGAAGATCTGATTTGGTCAGAGGTATGATACCACATAGTAACAATAATGAAACTACTAACACCTGTTCTTTCATATTTTACGGATATTCGAGACATATATTTCAACCTTAAAAATTCGTGGTTACTTATCTTTCATCCAACGAATTGAACTGAAACATTATAGTAACGTAAAGTGTGAATTCTGTAATCAACATTATAGATTACTTCCCATTTCATGAATCATTGTGAACTATGACTGGATTTTGAATTTTTCTGTTTTAGGCGTTAAATAATATGCGTCATTAATTATTTTCGTTGAATATTAATCCAATTTTCAATATAAATGGTAAATGGTAATAGAGTATATATATATATATATATACATATATGATCCATTTTTAAATATAAATGAATTAGAATGATTTCTTTATGATTTTGCAGTAAATTTATCACATTTAAATATATATATATTATACAATATATTTTATTACGATATATCAATTTTTTGAGAAAAATTTGTAAAAGAGATGTAATTATTAAAATAATATTATAAAGAAAAATATGATTTACATAATTATTCCTCAACTTACGTACTTGTACACATATTTGAGAAAAAAATAATAATGATCAATTTTGGCATACAAATTGAAAAAAGTTTAAGAATTGCATCCTATTTAACTATGTATCTTTGTTACTTTACTCAGAGAAAGTACGTGTTTAAGAACTATGGAATTAAAATATGTAAACGATCTCTAAAAAAAAATGAGTACGAGCCTTATATTTATTTCCTTTTCTACAAAAACCTAATTGCTGAAATGGACTGAAGTACACATCTTTCTGGGTTAAAAAAAGATTACAAGGTCCAACGTATAGATGACCATTAAAATTATGATTTGAATCTAGGTTTTGAAGTCCTCGAGGCTAAACAGACTAACATGTCAAGTCAAATGACAGAATGCCCTGATTATCATACCGTATTTAGGAATAAACGCAATCATTGTTTTGACTAGTCAAGTAGAGAAGGCAAACGAAGAGGAAAAAAAGAAAGAAAAAAAAAGTTGGCCGAAAGGCAACCTTTCAAACAACAAAACTGACGTTTTCTAAAGTTGTAGTGTAATCAAAAGCACGTTTGTACATATGTCAGCCGTCTAATCGGCGATGTTGACAAGGATACTAAAAAAAGAGGAATTGAACTTGAAGTTTTATGTAGGAAAGCTGCATCATCAAGTTCAAGATATATTTTGTCTGCAGTATTCCTTGAGAAGACAAAACGAATTCTTTAACAAAATGTCTTTGTCTCTTGTTGTTTGTTCGTTTGGCACTGTATTATATTTTAAAGGGAATCGATGGAATCAAGTACAATTTTAAAAATATGACAGAACAACCACCTGTATTTGTTCGTCAGGATATGGCAGGATTTGGGGGCGTGGGATTAGGGATGGTGTTGACACTCATAAATAGAAATATGGGAACTAATATCTGATCATCTCATCTGTTCAGGCAGGCCGGCAGGGG